TGAAAAGATTCAAGAGAATATTCTGAAAAAGATTACAATAAATATAAAAAACATTATCGCTAACCTGTTAATAGAAAAACGTTGGTATTCACAACCAAAAAATCAAAATAACAGACAAAGTAAATATATCTACCCAAGCCAAAAGCTCAATTCCAAAATAAAAACAAGTGAAAACAACTGGGAAGAAGAGAAGAGCATTAGTATTTCTCAACCAAGAAATCAAGACAACAAACAGGCAAGATAAATATCCCACCAAGTCAAAATCCCAAATCCAAACAAAGAAAACACAACAGCCGTAAAAGAAAAAAATGTTAGTATTTCACACTAAGAAACCAAAACAACCAAAAATATAATAAATAAACCTCCAAAAGCAAAATCCAGAGGCGACACTGAAATCAATACCGCAAAACCATCTACAAGGACAAATTCACACAAGCAAAACAATGTTCAATGAAATCAATGATACTATGCCAACAACAAATTCGCACAAGCGAAAAAAAGTCTACCGAAATCAAAATTGACAACACCACAAGACAACAAGCAGGCAAGATAAATGTACTCACCAAGTCAAAATCCCAAATCCGAACGAAGAAAGCACAACAGCTATGAAAGAAAAGGGTGTTAGTATCTCACAACTAAGAAACCAAAACAACAAAAAACATAGTAAATAAACCTACCAAAAGCAGAATCCAAAGGCAACACTGAAATTGACGCTGCAAAACTACCTACAAGGACCAATTTACACAAGCAAAATAATGCCCAATAAAATCGACAACACTATGCCAACAACAAATTCATACAAGCGAAACAAAATCCACTGAAATCGACAACATCTCGCCAACAACACATCCACTCAAGTCCATGTCAACACAAGCGAAACAAAGCTCACCGAAATTGATGACACCATGCCAACAAAGTTTAGCTTTAGTGATGGTGACTCCACAAATGATGATTCCAAAAAACAACTCCAAAAGATAATTCTAAGAAACAATGACTCCAGTAATGGCACCTATTTATCTAAAAAAAAAAGTTGTTATTAGTAAAATGACATAAAAAAAAAATATCAATGATTATCATGATAATCATTGTTTATATATTGCACATGACCTGTGACAAAAATGGCATGTAATAGGGTACAACAAGAATATTTATTTTTTTTTATTATATTGATAGAAAATACTCTATATACGATAATGATTTATGAAAAATTCTACTAATAAAATCGAAGTTGTGTATTAAATGAGTTTTGTAAAGCGTATTGCAAACTAGTAGAATATAAAATTTTAAGCCAAACAGACAAAAACTTGCAGAGATATTTAGATTTTTATAAAAGTAAATATAGACATTTTTAATAATTTTCTTTTGCAGAAATCTATTTGTGGAAAGCAATTCTTGAAATGAAATCTACTGTATAATCTTAATAGCATTTGTAGATATAGTATTCAGCTATCACTATACAAAATTTTAGAGTATTTGGTTAAAATTGATGAAATGATGTAAATTTTTCATTTGCTTTCTATAAACAGAATTATAGCTATAATGAAGATGTTTTAGAGACCATCTCAAGAACAAAAATTTTTTTCTAATTCTAAAGCTATTACTACATATTAATACTATTGATAAAAAACTTTTGTAAGAATTTTTTTATAAAATTTCAGACCAAACAAACAAAAATTCATCAAATTACTTTAGTTTTTCATTATGTTTTTATAAATGTTCTATAGTTAAGAGAAGCAATTTCAACAAGTTTCTCAATAACTATCTATAGTTCTGTTTGAATAACAATACTTATTTACTGTTTATAATCTGTTTAAAAAAAATTACTCTAGCCTTAATTAGAAGATATCTAGGTTAATTATTGATCTAAAATAGAAATTATAATAATAGATAACTATCATTTTCATTGTTAAAATTTTCTTTTTTGTATGTCTAGTGTCTAGAGTTCCACATTTAATTTGATTTGATTTGATTTGATTCAAATATTTGATTTCAAATCAAATTCAAATATTGATTTTCAAATCAATTCAAATTCAAATTGAAAGATCAAATCTTTGATTTGATTTGAAATTATTTATAAATAGTTAAAATTTGAAGAGTTATAGTTCTGGAGGCTATTTTCTTAAAATTTAATTAAAACAATTGCTAATTTGGTTCTATGAAACTAGGATTATTTTGATTAGAAGAATATTTATTATTTAGTATACAAAATCAATTTACTTAATAAAATTTTAAGAAAATCGTAGATATTTATAAACAGATAAAATTTAAAGAGTTAAGAGTTATAGTTCCAAAGACTATTTTCTCAAAATTTTATTAAGATAATGCTAATTTGGTTCTATTAAACTAGAGTTATTTTGATTAAAAGAACATTTTTTATTTAATATACAAAATCGATTTACTTAATAAAATAGGTTATATAATTTAGTGCATGTATATTGTAACGTATTCTGATTAACCAATTAAAATATAAGATCTGGTATAATGTTATATGATCAGAAAAATTCAAAACAAGTATTCGTTTTGTCAAAAATTGCCTATAACTCAAAATTTCGTATATGCAACTACTTTTTGGGTCTTAACAAAAAAAATTCCTTGCAAGATTTTACTACAAGTTCATCATTTATAACTACTTTAACCTTACTTAATGATAACCCTAATCACATAAAAAACTAATGTTTTAACTTTATATTATACTTGATCTTATAGAGTATGTTATAATCAGAGTTGGTCAAATCACTGGTCAACCAAAAATTCACTGGTCAAACTGGTCTGGTCAAATTGGTCGAATG